CAGATGCAACTCATTTCAAAAATCGCCCCCCCCCCCCCCTCCCCCCCCCAGTGGAAAGAGGTGGGAAATCAACACATGTTCATATATTTCCAGGAAACAATCTCTGATTGATCCAAAATGCACTTTTTCAAGAAAAAAAAAGGGGGGTGTGGGGGGGGGACTTAGTCGCATAATCTTTTCTTTCTAAATAAAACCAGAGTCTTATGTAACAGGACAAACTAAATACACCCAAAGCTCATTTGCTCTAATTGTTGCCCATGTGGTCCCAATCTTTAAAAACTGCAGCAGGCGACATTGAGTTTGGAGTAATGAGAATCATTATATAGTTAGATGTTGCTGTGCAAGGCCGGCGGCTCGGTCCGGATCTACCAGGAAGTCTTCCTTCCCGGTCTCTGGGTAAGTCCACGTTTACAGTAACACCCTGATAACTCTACACTGACCAGGATATTACACCTCGCAGCTCAAACAGTCTGACAAAGAGCATGAAATAAAGCCACTTTAAACAGCTTCCTGTAATTCATACTTTCATCCCTAATAAAGCTGTCCCCAGAGGCTGTTTACTGCAGTGTCGGAACATCGGCGCGCAAAAACCTGCTCAGTGCCTCGCTGTTTAATAACAGCTTTTTATTTCACTGCTACCAAATTTAATGGTCAAACAGACAGCCTCCCTCTGAAGTTGAATCAAGGTAACGGTGTTTTCTGAGAGCGTTATCCTCCAGGGCTAACGACCTGATTGGAAATTTTACAGAAAATGATGATGATGTGTAGCAGCATAAAACCACTTACCCCAGGAAATCTAAACCACCTTGAGCATCTCGGCTTGTTATATGACTATTTTATTTTTTCTGTACTTGAAAAGGTTTATTTGCAAGGAAACGGACAGAGTAATCTGCTGGTGACTGGAATCAGCTGATCAAACAGGTAACTGTCCAGCTGGAAACTTAACATTCCAATGTTTATCTGAACATGCACACTCTTTGGTGTGATTTTTGTTACTGAGGCAGATATTGTAATTTTTGCTACTTTTAAATTAAAACAGAGGAGCAATTTGGAAAGAAAATGTTATTGCTACTAGCTAATCTTTGGTAAGTGCAGTTTTAATCACTGCTTGTGATCTTTTAAGCTACGTAGCAGCTGTCACATAGCGAACGAGGCAAACTGAACCAAAACCAACTTCAGCAAACAGCAGGAAGACAAATGTTTACAATGAGGAAATGTGAAATGCACCAATTGTCTTTAAACCTAATAATATCAAAGTCTAAAGCTTAAAAACTCCTTCATCAGTTTGTCTTTGTTCAAATTAGTAAAACCCTGTTTTACATCAACTGCTCTCTCGCATGGTGTGACGTCTCCTCTGTTCTTGACCTCTCAGATAGAGACGATTGTTCACTACCTACCCGACAATCCCTCTGCAGGGTCTTCATCAGGTTGTTGTACGTCTCTGTGTCAAAGTAAAGCCCCTCCTCATGCATGTCCTGAAAGTCCAGGTCTTTGTACGTCGGACGGGCTTTCTCCCTCTCCTTCCTGGACGCTCGCCTCTTGTAGGTGGATCCCTTCAGGTCGTACTTGTAGTGCATCTTGACCGAGCGAGGAAGCACGTTGTTCATCACCACCAGTCGGATGTTGAAGCCCCCCGTCTGGATGCAGTACAAGCCGTAAAACTTGGGCAGCAGCGTGCGCGGGTTCTGGTTCAGGTTCTGTGGGTTTGGACATTCAACATTCAGATCTAACACGCAGGACTTTTCAGACTTGGCACACTTTTATTAATGCCTATTTTATTTATTAGGACAAGAGGAAAAAATACCTGATATCTGTGGAAGCTGGATTAAAGTAGAAATCGTATCTTTTTTATTTATTTATTTTTTTTTTTTTAGAAAGAAATCAGTTTTTAGTAGTAATCGCATCATAAAAGTCCTTTCACTTTTGTTTTCATGTTCCATATTTACAGTGAAGCCCTGATAGATTAAATAAATCTAATACACTTAAGTAGATTTACTTAAATTCTCTTCATAGGAAGAGATTTTTCACTGTCCACGGTAACACGATGATGTATCCATTAGATACGTTACCAAGAAAAGTTATTTCTGCATCCCAGATATAAAACTGTTGACTGATAATTTTCCATCCATCCAGGCTTTATTAACGGTTCACCTGCTCACAGTGAAGTCTGCCACAACACACTAATATCTAAAGGCCCCAACAACTCCTCTCTCTTCTGCACTCAACCTGATTTCATTTGAGATATTTCACAGAAATTATCAATACAAAATATATATGTTGTTTGTGTTCATTCTCATTATCTGCCATGTTTTCAGTTAGTTCCGTCACGTTTGCTTTGTTTTATTTCACCAGAAATAAAATGAAACCTTTACATCTCAACAGTCACTGTTGTATTTGTTGTTGTTTGTTTGTATATTTTTAAGTTTTGGTCATAAAACGAGCGAAAGACAGAAAAAGGAGCCGTGTTCCTCACCATGTAGTACCCAGGCAGCAGCCTCTGCAGAAACTTGGCCTCTTTGTGCTGAACCGTTTTGATGATGAACTCGTCGTCGCTGGTCAGGTAGAAGAGCGAGCCGCTGGCGCCCGGGTTGGCCAGCTCAATCAGAGGCTCGTTTACGAGCGAGTACTGGGGAAGGAAAAATCATAACATCGATTTAAGTGTTTCGCACGTAGCGAGGATCGGGCTTTCCGGAGAGCAGCTTCATCCGCAGTGTCATCACAAACTAGAGCTAAACAAGAAGACTGAAAAATGGAAACACTGTAAAAGTTTATATGGGAAAAAAAAAAAAAAAGGAAAACATTTTTTTGTTTGTTTAAAACTACAAGAGATAAACGGCAATAAATTTCTTACAAAGTTTACGACTTAGCAGGAATGAGAAATAGCTTAATTTCTCTAGTTTTTTTTTCCCCCCTTAGGGGCATCATTCGTTACACAAACACAAATGCTTCTCATACCTTCATTTTTTCCTCTCTCATAGCAGCATGACTGAGATCCAGCAATGATAACAGACAGTAAAGTCTGGCATTTGCTAAAAATAACATATCTCTCGTCGTATCTCCCGTCTAAGATGAACAGTCAGTCGTTTCAAGCACAGCTCAGATTTGGCTGCTGCACACCTTTCCTCCAGGTCTATTCAAAATGTCCTCGTCGGAGCAAAGGTAGACCCAAAATAACCTCTCGCTCTACGCAGGAGGGGTCCCAGAATCTCCACATCTTGCCAAGTCGCTATAGTCAAAAAACCTATGTGTGAATGCATGCATTATTATGTCTAGGAAGCAAGTGTCACTTTGCCAAGACAGAACATTATCTTTTCAGTTGGGGGTTAATCAGACACATTTTAACCCAGCAATAAGGAAAATCTGAACATAAACGGCAAACTACAATCCAGAAGTGGCACCGAAAGCGAGCAGCAGACTGTGGAGAAGTGCTGGATGTTAATCGGTGCGTTATGAGAGCAACATGTTCAGAGGAGACGAGAAACACTGGAGGCATCTGCTCCCTCTCCCCGGAGACAGCCGACGACCGTCTGCAGTCGCAGCGAATAACTGGCACAAACACATCTGAAGCTCATCGCTTTTATATGTGCTTTTATTCCCGGTTTTAATTAGCCTGGGCTGTGTGGCCTCTTGCCTGACTGAATCCATCACCACCTGAAGCCACAACTAACTGTAGCAACCTCTCTACTTTGTCGCGCCTAATGAAATCCTCGCTCTTCTGCCTTGAAGTTAACCTGTTTTTTGTTTTTTTGCCTTTTGTCGCTGGTGCAGAAATAATGTCAGAGTTCAAAAACAAGAATGCAGCTGGCTGGATTTATGAAAGGGCCTGGAGGCAGATGGGAAAAAGGCAAACGGCGTCATAACAGGATAAAGTCATAACATCACACAAAATCTAATTTGGTTCTGAGAACAAAGCATAAAGAGGAACTCAAAAACAAGGGACTTCTGCAGATCCTCATTTGACTCTTGAACAAGTTTTGAAGGGAAAACAACGGGATTAAACAAAAAAAAAAAAAAGAGGATGACGAAAACTTCTAAACTTTTTACTTTTTAATCAGTTCTTGAACCAATCACCTCTGCTCATTTCTCGTTGGAGTAAAATGTAACGGTTTGGATCCACTTTCAGCATCTGGGCTTTACATTTAATCTGAAGGCACTCGGAATATTTTTTGAAAAATACCAGAATATGTGTCTTTGAAGTAAATCTTAGTAGATATAAGGTGTTTTGTACTGAAGTCCAGCTGCCTTATGTTCCACCACCGTCACAATAACAACCAATGACAGTGGTACATTGAACTTGTTTGGTTGTTTTTTTCCCATAAAAGCATTTAAACAGGAAGAAAGCTTTTTGCTTGGGAGCCACTAACATCCTAAGAGGAATGTTGTTGGAAGTACTTAACTTGAGGAGTTTTCGTGGGTGATATTTAGATGCAACATCACTGAGGGGTGGAGTCAAACAAACCAAATTACTTTAAAAAATGTGCCGCTCTGACACAAGTCACCGTTTGTTAGTGGTCAGAGCTGCACATGAACATGTTGTACACTACTGCACACAACATAAGAGCATGTTACGCTGTTTTTGTTTCATTTTTTTAAACATCTATGAGCATCTCTGCCACTTTAAAAAAAAAAAAAAATTAAAAGGATTCGCATATTTTAATATAATGGCTTTTTCTGTCCCTAGTCGTCTTCATTTTCCTGCATTTTCTTTCAAACATTTTAGATAGATAATAAAATTATCTGGAATTACATTCCCTAGAAAGATCCTCAAATAGTCAAGGGGATCACTGAAGTACAATGGGAGTTGTTTTTTTCTTTTTTCCCCCCCATAAATTTAATTATTGATGTGCATTTGTATTTAGCGTTGCTGTGAAACATGGTGGTGGCAGCATTATGTCGTGTAGATGCTTTCGGGAAGACGAATGGAGTTAAATACAATCATGGAGGAAAACTAGTTGGAGGTTGAATGGGCCTTGATATGCAGCCTGAGCTACTGTGGAATGGCTTGGTTCAAAGTGCATTTATGCGTTTAAATGACCTAGTCAAAGTCCTCACTATAATTAATTTGAGAATCTGTGACAAGACTTGGAAACTAATGTCTACACGGACACACACCATCTGATCTAAACGAGCTTGAGTCATTTTGGAAAGAGTAAATAAATCTTTTTGACTCTAAATGTGCAGAACTGGCAGAGAGCTGCAGCTGTAAATGCTGAGAAATTGTTCTACAAGGTTTTGGTAGTATGGCACACTTTTCTGATTTGCATCGGTAAAAAAAAAAAAAAAACAATCATTAACTACTTGGAGTGTTGGGTCGTCTTACCAGATAGTCGTCGGGTTTGATGCCAAACAGATCTCTGAAGTAGCGGAAAGCCAGCGGAGCGTATGTCTTGAAGCGGAAGTCCGGGTAGTGATGAGCAGGAGTCAAGTTACTTCCCTCACTGTAACGTGATGATGAAACCAAGCCAGGAAGCAATGAAAAATAAAAAAAAAGAGATGCATAAGACACATTATTCCCATTAAATCTCAATAAACAACAATCTCATTGTTACGATTGGGACTTTAGCATAGTGGGTGACTGCATTTTCAGCCATTGATGGAGTATTTCTCCACCAACACGGAGGAGGTAATGAAACCGTTTTAAATAAGTGTGCTGGAGAAGAGATGCATCTACAACATGACGGCCCTGAGGACCAGCAGGTTGAGAAATGCTGCACTGATGCATGAACACAGTTCAGTTCAGTCATGTACAAGAACCTGGATCCATAACAGCTGTCGTGACAACAACAACATCAACAAAAAAGGCCGGTGTCGAGTAGTTCGCCTGGAGGCTGAAGGTGAGTCTGATTACTGGATCTAAACAATAATCAGCAGCACATGAGCCTTTCCTCAGAGGGAGAAAAAGGACCTGCAAAAAGCCCTCAACACAATAACCTCGTTTTTTTTTTTTTTTTTTTTCCATCTTTGGCTGGACTGCGGGACATTCTCAGACAGGCTTTGACAAAGGCTGGCCCCATTCGGTTCCCAAGCTAGCTTTCATTCCAGGGGAGAACCGCGACACATGAACTAGCGTGTCGACAATATGGCGAGAGTGAGTCGACGTAAACTCACTGGAGCTGGTTTTCGTGGATCCTAAATATGGAAGTAGGTTAATAAAGATTAAGTTTTCCAGGGCGACTCTAAATCGGGATTGTTAAACAACGATCCGAGTAACCAGACTGTTTTGTTGTGTGCTGGGGCAACAGTCTGGGCTGTGCCCTGTAACATAACCCCACAAAGTAATTTGCCTGCTTTGTTCGGCGCGGGACGGCAGCGGCGTTCACCTGTCACGGAAAAGTTGTCGAGCGCAAACAGCACATGGAAATGTTTGATCCAATCTGATCAGAAAGACAGCCGCCTGCAGTTCCATTGAGAAGAAGGGAGAGTCATTGAGAAAAAAAAAAAAAA